AGCAGTACAAGAGAGAACAAGGAAAAGATCCGGATTTCCACAGAAAGGACCAGGTTTGTATATCCAGGGCAACCACACGAAAGAGCCATTACATGCCGCTGAAGCAGATGGAAGAGCACCCAACAGCGACAGAAGACTTCCGCTGCCCTTCTGCTGCTCGTGACTGCCCTGTGGTGGAGTTTCTGACCAGCCCTTGATGCCCTTCCAGGAATCACCAACAGGTTTTTTTGATTGATTTTCCTGCTGCTCAATAGCTCCACCTTATCTGCTTTCCAAAAGAGCCCGTATGACAAGATGTTCCTCAGAATCTGCCTGGTAGGATAATGAATACAAAACTACCCTTTATTTTCAGCAAAGAGAAAGTATCTCCAGGCTTTTTTGCCTAGAAACATCCAGAGAACAGAAGGAAGAGCATGAAGATTACATCCCACACTCTAGCACTGCTGGGACACTGCCAGGCCTGCAGAGAAAAAAACAAAAAACACAGCCCGGCTCTGCTTTGGGGCCACCTCAAGTGAGATTTCTGCGAAGGACAAAAACTCTGCGATCAGACTGAGCTGAAGAGCAGCATCACAACCAGAACGGTAAGAAAGAGCAAGCAGGGAAGAAGCGGGCAAGCGGCAGGTGAAGATGAGCAACGTGGGCTAAGAAGGGGAAAGCTGAGCTGAGGTTTAGGAGGGCGAAGAGGACTGTGAGGGGATGTGGAAGAGACAACTGTCCTGCGCTTCAGAGAGTCTTCCCTGACATCAGCAGCAAGGACCAAAGCCACACCAACACAAGAGGAACGGCGTGGACAGGGACTGGTGAGTTGTTCTGAAAGTTGCTGCGCGGCAGGAGGCGCTGGGGGTGGGAGACCCAAGGGTTACCCGAGGAGGAAGAGTCAGAGCACATGCGCAGCATTGGCCAGCCTGGAATCTGGCCAGGACACACAGAGAAACCAGCGCGGTGCTGCAGTGCCCGGCCCGGCGTGTAAATAACAGAACTTGGATTGAGGGGATGTTTGAAAGGTGGAAAAGAAATGGGCTACAACTTGAGTCTGAGAACATCACAGACCCCTCCACGGAAAGGCTGTCGGAGCGTTTGCTGCTGGAGATCAGGCTCCACAGAGCTGCTTCTAGCTCCTTACTTCAAAGAGAAAAGGCCCGTGGGACAAATGGGTGGCAACGACTCACGAGCTCTGTGGTGTTTTCCACAGGGTACTCAGCAAGTGCTCCATGGTGGCTCTTCCAAGAGGAAAGGTGCTTCCTCCTGGGTCTCCAAAGCGATGCTTCGAACATTTGCAACTTCTGAGAACACAGGAGCCCCTGGACCATCATGAGCTTTTACTGCAAATGCCAGCCTGCAGCTCTAGTGCTGCAGAAGCAGCTGGGAACAAGTTCCTTCACACAAGACGTATGAGAAAAGCTCTCAAAGAGTTTGAGCAGCTTTAAGAGACAAAGCAGCAGAAGACTGGAAACCCCTCACAGAGCAAGACGGCATCCCGCGCAGACAGACAAAGGACACTGCTGTCACCAGGGCGAAGGACTCGGTGCCCAATGGTGCTACAGGAGCAGCAGGTCCTCGGGAAGCTCCAGGACTGCTTCTCCTTCAGTCGTAAGCAGAGATACTGCAGCAGTGGCACCACCACGCCCGGTACGCACCGGCGGCAGAGCCAGGAGCAGTTAAATCAGTGAATACACTTCTTAAAATGCCATCTCTGGCTGAAGAGCAACAGACACCTCGATGGCATCCTTGCACCCAGCACTGGGAGAGGCTGCCCATGCCCGCAGCCCGAGCTCTTCGTGGTGGTGAGCACCGTAGGGTACGTGGCATTAGAGAAACCACTTGATCGCAGGCTGCTTCCGTGTGATTTGCCGTGTTTCAAGCACTCCGGAGACAGGTTCATTTTAAATATCTTGAGATTTCTATATTGCCAACCATTAAATGACTTACAAATTGTAACTGTCTCTAGAAATCACCTTCTAGCTTATGAAAAATGGCAAAAATCTCAACCGAAAATACACTTTCCATTTCACAGCGGTGTTTCAACGAGGTTGGAGGATTCTGGTTCACCCCCCTGCCATGTACGTGCTGGGCAGCAGTTTGCCACAAGACATGCAGGCCCATCACGGACGACAGAGACGTTCCTGAGCAGGTTGTCCCCTCCTAAGGAGGATGGAGAGCAGCTGCTCAGGTTTTGTATTTTTAGGAGGTTTGGAAAAACCTGCCCGAGTTATTTTTGAAGCCTGTGGTGTGTTTGCTCACAAAAGCGTCCCTGCAGACTGTCAATATTCAGTCAGCTTAAACCCAACCCACTCCCCGGGGACAGAGAAACGTCCCTTGGCTGCTGCTGGACCGAGACACAAACGCAGGCAACTGCTTCGGGGCCACCCATCCCGCTCTCATGCTGACAAGTGACATCACCAATATCTGGCCGTTCCTTCTTTTCTGAAGCGCTGTCAGAGGAGCGCGCTGGACTGCATGAAGCAAGCGAGGTTGCGTTTTATCCCGTTCCTCTCACACCCAGAAACCCGAAGAGGACACCCATCTGGACGTTGTCCTCGGGGCCCTGTGTTTGCTTGTACGGCCATCTGACAACTTCTTGGCCTGTGAGCTTTTCTTTAATGTGTCCTTTTGCATCCATGGGAAGTTGACTGAGAGCACAGAAACTTACCCAGGATCTCTGCGCAGAGCTGCAGCCTGCTCGCAAATGTCTGGGACTGGGTTGTTAGTGAAGCAGTCGCCGGCTCCTCAATCCTCAGCCCCTGGCTCCATCGTCTACTGGCCCTGGCAAGAAGGGCAGGACAGAAGAACCCCCCCAAGTCAGTTAATGGGAAGGGAAGGGCCAGCACAAGTGGTGACGTCAGGCCAGCCGTGCTCATCAGCTGCCAGGGAGAAGGTGAAGGCTGTGGCTGCCCAAGATGAACCTTCCACAGGAGACCTGCACCAGGGCTTTGCCCCTTGGCTGGGAGCTTTGTCCCTGGGCTGGGCGGTTTGCCCCTGGGCTGGGGCCTT